GAAATACAAGTGGTAGGCAAATTATTGCTAGGCAACCCAGAAACAAGGGGGTGGGCCTGGAACCTTTCTCTCTAATGCTAAGGTGAATATGTGAAGGTTCTCTTCCCGGAGCAGGTCTTTCCATCTGCTTCAGTCAGAAAGGAAAGGGTGAGGGTCAAAGGTTTCTTTCTGAGTTCTTTGTTTCTTAATAACCAGCTTAAAATCAATATCCCAAAAGTCCCAGTTTTGCAATGGCAAGCATTTGGTCCCCTTCCATACACTTACAGAATTTTAACACCTAAGCTAATACATTTAAAAGAACAATTAAACAAATGACTCTCACTGCTTCTCTCACTATGTCATGTCCTGAAGACAAGCAATGGTGAACTGTTTCTCCTTTTGCCTCAAGCGCCTGATACCCAGAGTGAGGAAGCTGCCTCCAGACTTGGTGTTGGCAGAAGCGGCTAAATGGATTTATATTGAGTTATTTATATTGTGTTGTTTTGTCTGTGGTTCCTGTGCTGGGGGTTTGATGGTCACATCAAAGGAGTAGCTCTGCTGTAAGAATTGGTCAGCGAGGGTCAAATAAATCGTGGTCATTACTGAGACCCATTCCCATGATAATTACGGTCAGGAGACCCTTGGTGTGTAAGTCTGTTCTCTTGGTGCAACACATATGCCCCAAGCTTGTTAAAGGCTCAGCAGTGATGGACTCATGGATATCTTTCTTGGAGGAGAGGTGGCTTACTGAACCTTGAAAGAGGGCACGATGGCCTATCAAGTCTCCTTTACTGTGGCAGTCTAGGATGTTACCAAGGCAACACTTGCCCCTGAGCGTGGCAGTACCCTCCTCTGGTAGTCACCAGGCCGTAAAAGGGTTGTGATGATGATACCACAGCTGATCATTTGTAGTATTCTACACGTATACTTCTGCTCTTAGAAATAATAAAATAAATCTAAGTGGCTGCTTGTGAAACAAAAAAAAGGGGGGTGGGGACTGGCTTAGTTCCTGTTTAGGGGGTGGCTTGTGACTGTGACAGATATAACGAGAGTGAAATATGGTCTGTGTGCCTGTTTGCTTTGCCCTCCTGACTGCAAACACATCTCCATCATCTTGCCAGACCCCGAGGGAAGCCTATTTACAGCAGCTGGACTGGGACTGACTGGCTCGGATAGGGCAGAGCCCAGCCACCGCTAGTCCACAGGAACGTCTACACAAGCTTAGCTACACAAAGCTCCAGTCGTATTGTTTTTGTGGAAAAAAAGAAAGAAAAGGGGGGGGGGTCTTAATTACAGGTTTTCTGTAATTAAGGAAAAACGGTTTAAAAAGAAGTAGTGAAAGATCTAGGAAGCAGAGTTTTATACTATGATAAATAATCGTCAGTTTGATAGTTTATAATTAGGGAAGGAGGGGTTAATTCCATTACGCAGTTGTTTTAGGAGTTTATGAACAATTTTAAACTTATCACCCGACTTGTACAAGTGGAACATTATGAAAATAGCCATTCTTTGCAAAATTCTTTTTCGTACACACGAGAAAATGTGACTTTGTTTTTGCTGCAATGAAAACTCAAAATGATTAGCAAGGCAAACTTATGTGCAAGAAACTTTAGGTTAACTTGCCAAAGATATTCAACCTCTTTCTCTCCCTTAAAGAAATGTTTATATATAAGGCATTCTATTACATACATATACCACTTCACATGCATAAATTTCTTCAGTCCCACAGACAACAGAGGTTAAGGAAACAGAAAATTCAGTTCTAGGAAGACTAAGAAGTTAAAGGCACATATACATGCCTCTGATTATAAGGTTTTTGAAAAATAATACACATAGTAAGCTGTTAACTGCTATAGAAAGCATGCTTAACTGTAGGCTGTAGTTTAAGTTAGTTGAAAAGCCCTTCCTGATAATGAGAATTATTTTTTAAATATATATTTTATTGATTTTTTTACAGAGAGGAAGGGAGAGGGATAGAGAGTTAGAAACATAGATGAGAGAGAAACATCGATCAGCTGCCTCCTGCACACTCCGCACTGGGGATGTGCCCGCAACCAAGGTACATGCCCTTGACCGGAATCAAACCTGGGACCCTTCAGTCTGCAGGCTGACGCTCTATCCACTGAGCCAAACCGGTTAGGGCAATAATGAGAATTATTAAAGTGAGTGGGTTACTAGGCAGGTCTTCATAGGCCAAAGGAATAATGTTATTTTATGATATGATGGACTTGGAATGTGTAAACATTCAGTGTAATCCAGCATTCTCTTATCTTTTACACCCAGTGAAAGACAGGGTTTTTTTTTTTGGAAACTCAATTTACTCAGAGATCTAGTCTTAACACTTCACCATTTTGCCTCATATTTACAGTTAAGTTCACAAATGAAGGTAGGTGCGACTGGCTTAAAAGTTGAAAGTTAAAATTAAGGAACTGACAAACTCATTTTCTTTTATGTTATGTGATAGAATGGAGTTATTCTTTTCTTATCCTTACATAAAAGGGTGAGATGGTGGAAATTTTTATCCTAAAACCATAGACAGATTTACTCTTGTCATTAGTTCAAAGTGATCCCAGGCAAGTTGAAATATTTTCGGTTGGTCTGAATGAATCGGAGTCCAAAACAGCACCGACTAAGGTAAAAGGTATGGGCTTCAGAATTGGCAGGTTTGGTTTGGGTCATAGATCAAACTGTTAGGTATAATCGTGGACAGTTAACCTCTTATTCTCCAATAGTTAATAGGGAATGTCAAGATAATAATGCCATCTAGGCCATAGCACAGTTATGGTCTTAAATAAGAGATTTCAAGCACTTAGCATGGAACTTAGCACAGAGAACAACCAGTATTACATTTCTTTTTTTTTTTTTTGGACCTGTGACTTACAGTGGGTCCTGTCAGTTACAGAAGAGGGCCCGATTCTCTGACCAACCCCACTCCTGTCTATTCCTTTGAAGTTAGAAATGAGGGAGAAAGTGCCACCTAGTCCCTAGGGAACCATTTCTCATATGCCTCTGACGCCTCATACAAGTGTCCGTCGAAGCTAAGGGACTTTTCTTTTTTTTTTTTTAGGATCTCCCACTGAGTTCAAAGACTTATCCTTCCAAAGAATATGAGCAATAGTCACCGTTTATGATGTCATATTTGCTGTAATGCTTTGTTGTAGTTGCTGAAATGTTCACAGACTCTGTTATTGCTTAGATCTTAAAACAATTACAAGGGAAGTCAAATTCCATTCTTCAGTAAAACGCAGAACTAGGATTAGTCCCATTGTGCAATAAAAACATGAAAAGCTTGAAAAACACATCTATCTTTAGATTATTAAGTTTACAATGTCAACCCAGATTCTTTGATTTGACTAGGATCCTATCCTGATATATTTAAAGTAAGCTAAATCAGCAACATTTTAATCTATTCATATCTTAGCCATGGGTTTTTCAATTTGCATTCAAATATAATATTAAGTGATATTATTGCCTCAAATCCAAAATGCTTGTGTTTTGTTTGTTTTTCATTTTTCCACTCTGGAAGTTGGGATACCTTATGATTAATGTGTAAAGTTATGTTGTGGTAGTTCTTTTCCATAAAAATTGACCCCAAACCAATAGAAGATCTTTAGAGTGATGGAATCATATTTAGGAAAATATGGAGTTCAAAAATCATCTTACTTTGTATTGATATTACCTAAGGTGGCTTTGCTCTTACTTTGTGGTAACTTAATTATTGGTAAAAGAAACAATTTAATATATACGGAAGATAATCCAAAGGCTTCATTAAGATTTTTGGTACACATATATTTGTAGGTCAAACAGCCATACCTCTAGCTAATAGCTGGTCTTTTTAATGTTTCAACATTGCTTTAAAAGTACCACAGATTTCTTCCAATATGATAGGAAATACCATATTTGTCATAGCAAGATTCCAAGGAGAGAAAAAGCCTCCCCAGCCAGTTTCCAGAAAACCCTTTCCTCACTCTTAGGTCGCCTCTTTCTTTTGAGGGTCCCTGTAAAAGCTAGGGTGGCAGCCATACCTGTCACTGTCATGTGGGACAACACACCATTCAAAACCTGACATACATACAGCACAGTGCTGGGTACATAGCAGTTATTCAATAAACCTCTCCTGGTGCACTGATGTGAAATACAAAACTGTTCTAGTTAGGCATACATACAGCTTTTAACATTGGGAAAACTCAATTTTCCAAAAATGTTCCCTTTTCCTTTTCTCTTCTCCCCCTCCCCACACCCCCTTTTCCTACCAAAAATCCTGTGAGTTAATTTTGGGACTTTTACACAAATAAAAGCACCAATAAATCAAATCCTAAACGTTCTTTTTTCCCTTGAAATATAAAAAGTGGTGTTTTTTGTTTTGTTTTGTTTTCCTGTTTGTTGGTTTTTTTCCATTTTGGTAGCAAACATGAAAATCACCACAACTAAAGGTAGAACACCAATTTCAAAAAACGTTTGATCAACCCAGTCGGTGTGACTCAGCGGTTGACCAAGAAACCAATAGGTCTCCCATTTGATTCCCAGTCAGGGCACAGGCCCTGGATGCGGCTCTATCCCCAGTAAGGGCCATGATGTTCATGCCGGTCAATGATGTTACTCTCTCGTCAATGTTTTTATCTCTCTGTTCCTCTCTCTCTAAAAAACAATAACAACATACTTTAAAAAAACACATTTGATCAGAGATGGAAAACTCAATGGTAAAGTTAATAGAAATGAGTGAAATGTAATGTTAAAAGCTGATGATGTGAAACACTGATCAAGAACCAATTAATAAATTACTGATAATGATTTTCTTTAGGAACACTGATAACCCTTAGCAACTAGGTGGCAAGTTGGTTTGCAAATATTTCAATCAATTAAACTGAAAAATAATAACCCTTATGAAACGGGGAAGAAAAAATGTATGAAAAAAACAGAGGAAAAGAAAGAGAAGAAAGGAGGAAGGGGATTTATCTTAAAATATTTAATCTAAATTAAAAAAAAAATTCCTGCTTTCTAAAACACTTTACATTCCAAAATAGGAAAAGAATTCTTTAAATGCTGACATTACAATAGGCACAGGATCAACTATTAGATAATAAATATCATTTCTATGCGAGCAGCCCACAAATCATGATTAAAAAGCAAACTTCAAATACTACTAAATCCATTTTCTTATTTGCTACCTAATTCCATCAGAGCTAACAGAAAATTTAATAACCAGAGAGCTTCACAGAGAAGGAACATGGTGATCTGTTTTTGCTCATTTTTTTTTACCCACTTCCAGACAGAAGAAATTAGATAAACTATACGCTTGATTTTTTAAAACTAAAAGCCTCCCACTTTTTCCTTTAGCTTTGAGCATAAGTGAAATGCATAATAAGAGCATTCTTTCTTAATTTTTCATATGTTTGGCCCAATAGCTTTGGGATCTCTATAATGGTCTTTTTCAGGCTTCATTGAAGAGGGATATCTGCATAATTACTACAGCATCAAAAAAAATTGGCATTGAGGTAGATATAGAGGATTCATCATCAGGAGGCATATATACGCCCTTCACGTATGCATGTGATTTTTAAAAACACTACAAATGTTTTTGAGTTATAAAACGTAGGACACATTCTAGCCTATTACCCCACGTCCGGTATACTACTAGTATTATTTGGAGTTCTTGTATTTGCACTTTTCCAAGAACCGTGGTTAAGAATAAAAGGCAAAGGAAACGGATCACTTCCTGCCTCCAAATAATGTCTTACCCCCCTATGCTTAATAGATTTACAAGCTCAGATAAAAACTAATTTCAAGCAAGCTGTGAAAGAGCAAAAGAAAAGCCCTGGTTTAATTTGTTAGTGAAGGAAGGCCTTGCTTGAAATTCATATCAACTTTACATTCTGCAAAGCAACTCAGCCACATAAAAATAGTCAAAAAGGACTTCATTTAATTAGTGATATGTAGACTTTTGCATAGAAAAAGGTTACAAAGTAATGCAAAAAGGACTAGGTACAGTAATTTTAAAACAAATATTTAAAAGTATAATGTTGCATAATGTTTAACATTCTTCTTTATTGCTTTCTCCACACAGCAGAGAAATGAAGTGCATAATAATAATACATGCTGTGTCTTTATCTTTCAAACATAAAATCTCATGTGCTCAATTTCAATGTATTAAGAGATTATTTTGTCATTAAACAAAATAAAAAACCAAACAAAATGAAACCAAAACACCATTATGTAGCACTAGTCTAGGCATGGACAAACTAATTTATGTACATCCCATTGCATACATTCATCTTGATTTGGGGTCAAACGCAATCTTCAGCTTGACAAAGAGCATTTAAAAATCGTGGCTTTTCTGTTCCAAATGCTATCTCTCTACCTACCTCCCTGTCTCATCACCTCCAGAAATGCTACTTCTCCCAAAAGGATGACAAGGATAGTACACGTCATCGGGACAAAATGAAGAGGATACATATGTGGAAATAGTCCAAATGAAACGGAATAAATTATGCTAAACTTTTACAAACTGGAGTTTTCAAGTTGGCATGAATCAGCTAGCCTCTGGTGGGCACACAGTAGGTCACTGCTCCTGGGCGTACTCCATAAACGTATGGTTTATAGAAGAAGCACCACATTCTGAGCCATGAAAGAAAAAGATGCCTTGGGGTTTGCAGACAAGGCAGAATGCTGGCTAATCTGAGCGCTGATGGAATAATTGCTTATACCAGTGTATTGCTGAATGTCACCACTTGGCAAGTCTGTACAAAGAAAGGAAACTAAGATAAAACTCGGTCTTTCAACTTGAAAAAATTATTTTCAGCAATCCTTTTGGCCAATAAAAACCTGTTGGTTTCAACAGAGTACTCTTCCCTGGCATTGTTATGTCTGCAGCCTAACGCAAGACTTCTGTCCCTCTCCCTTCTTAACCTAACTTCTACCCCCATCCCTTGTGCAATGTTCCATGCTCAGAACAAAACTTCACTAGCTCAGGCACTTAGGAAACACGAATATATTTTTTCCATCTGGTTTCAAGAGAATTCAGTCAGAGCCCTTTTCTTCTCCAATTTGGATAAACCGAGGCGAGGCTGGATGGTACAGTCTTTTACTTTCCGGGGAAATTCTACATGGAAGCAACTGTGAAGTTCTCAGACGTTGCTGACGTCAGTTACCAAGCTGCCTGAACCAACCACAAGAAAGCAAACAGATCGCTAATACCACATTTCCACCTGTGAGGTGTGTGTCTCAGAGAGCTTTACTGTTCCTTGGTGGGTCTGCAGACATCTGTACGGCGGCCTCCGGGGCAGATGCTGACATGCAGGACTTTCAGTGACCATGGCAACAGGTTCAATGACAACTCAAAAAGCGCCCACTTCTGTCCCCCAGGGTCGGTAAGGTTTACTGTTAGTTCCACTGCCCGTCTGCTGAGGGCTGGACGTGGCTGATACGGACAAGGGCGGGCTGATGGCTGTGGCGGCTGCCACCGCGGCAGCGGCGGCGTTTGGGGGGAGCATGGGGAAGGCCCCCGCGAAGGACAGGGGGAATTCGATGGCATCCGAAGGGCAGAATCCGCGTGGGCAAACGTGGCCGTGAGGAGCGCGGAGCCGTGGGCAGGAGGCACGTCTGAAGTCGTGGAGAGGCGGCAGGGCGTGGACTCCGAGGCGTGGAGTCCGTTGGGCTGGAGCAGGGCTGCGGGCAGATGGTGGAAGGCCGCGGCCCAGTGGTGCGGGTGCAGCGGGTGGTGGTGGTGGGCCAGGGAGGAGGTCATGGCCGCTGCTTCCCGCTGCGAGGCGCACGTGCTGAGATGGGAGACCAGCCGCACCCGCAGGGGGTCCGCCGAGTCCAGGCCTTCCACGGAGCTCAGGTACCGGGCCACTTCCGTCAGGCACTCTCGGAACCCGATGCTCATGAAGTCCATGGCCAGCGCGTGCGCATCGAAGTAGCCTAAAGGGCGGTGTGAGCAAAGTGGGGGCCAGGAGAGAGCGAGGAGAAAAGGATCCAGTTACTAAGAGTCCTACCAACTAGGTCCCACTCTGTCCTTCAGAAGATTGAAGCAGAACCACCATCCTTTCTGACAACGTTGCCAGCTACTTATGGTTGCCATCTGTGCAGAAGTTAAGAGAGTGTAGGAAGTACACTTTGCAATTCACATGTGTGACAACTCTGGCATTGCTGGTACTACAGTTGTTCTTGCAACCAAATTTCACAGTGGGGGCGGGGGGTGTGGTTGGTGTGTGTGTGTGTGTGTGTGTGTGTGTGTGTGATTAAGAGCATGCATGTTTCAAGTACTTCCAGGGGGAAAAAGTGGTGTTTCTCCTTCTGTATTGTGGACTAGTGAAATTCCCTAGTCGAATTTTTTCACGGTGACACAGAGTTCCAGGCGCTGTCTCCGTCACATGAGCTGTAGATTAAAGGGCTTTTCTGAAACATCCGCACTCTCTTGGCGGTAAACAGAGAGGTAAAATGCATTTTAGCGGCTTGGGGACTTTCGAATAAAGGACTTTTCTTGCACCAACACTTACTGAATCTTAAATTTTTTTTTAAAAAATGCTTCTTGACTCTTAGTGGCTTTTTAAAAATCAACAAAGTGAAAACATGTTGTCATTACTTGGTATGAAAAAATCCAATAAAAACAAACTGTTTCATTTATCATCTATTCATTATTAGACTATCTTATTCTGTATCTCAAGCACTTTGGCAAATAGTAGTCATAATATTCAAAAGTCCTAAAGCTAGAATTCGAACTGAAATTTGGAAGGCCCAAATAACATCTGGCAAAAATATACCCTATTAAAACAGTAACAACAGCACAAAGCTGATGTAAGACAGCATCATGAAATGTGGAAGATGAGGACTTAGGCAGAGTTAGCAACAAAGTCCCTGGGATTCGAAGGAAAAGCTCTCCCTAAAGAAGCCTCCTCCATGGAAAAGATTTCATGGGAGCGTCCTCAGGGTTCTCCGTGGGCCTTTGCGGACTCTGTCTCCCATGAGAAAAGAGGAGGGAGGTAATCACCAGTGTAGACCGAGTTCAGAAACCCAGAGGGATTTAGAAATTTAGGTTACTCTACTAAATCCTCTCTAGACACTATGGCAACATCAAAGTAGACTGTAAAAAAACACACACACGAACCAACAGGATTGTAACCCTCAGGGCTTCCAAGAATTTTCATGAACAGGCATGAAAAAATTTGAAATTTGTCGTTTGCCAGCTACATGTTGCTGTATATCACTGAGTTCTCTGTTGCATCTTAAGGAATAGAAAGTATACCAATTCCTATCCTGTTGGTGAACACAGAGGGAAATGACGATGAGCAGCTGCCTCCTATGAATGAATCTTGGGCCAAAAATCATAGTACAGCACATAGGTCTATACCACATCATCTGTGCCACCACTGTTCTACAGCTTTCAGTGAACAAACTCACAACCTTGTGAAGTGGACACTAGCACTGTTCTCACTTTACAGATGAGGAAAATGGGGCTCCGAGAGGGTCAGTAATTTACCAGGTGTCACAGAGCAACTACAGGACAGTGCCAGATTTGTAAACAGGCAACCCAGCCAGAGTCCCTGCTCTAAGACATCAGCACACTAGGAGGCCCTTATAGCAGTTGTGAGTCTTGGGCGATGTAAGCCCACTCTGCCCGCCCCCCTTCTTCAAGGCCCACATATTCTCCAGCTTGGTGACCTGTTTAACGACCTGGCAGTCAGGCCACCTGTATGTGCTTGCTTGGAAATGTGTGTTCATAAACTATTCTGGTTTGAATTTTAGGACTGTTCAGGTAGCCAAGAATAGCAACCAAGACTGAACTTAGTTTTTATAGTAAGGCATAAGAACAATATTACTCTTTACAAGTATAGCTCAGGCTAAATACTTGAAATGTTGATAAGAATTCTCAGTCATGTGGTTAACGATGCCAGGGGAGGCAGAGCAAACAAACAACTTTTCTTGCACCACCACTAACTCAATCGGTGCAGATGGCAACGTGGGGCTGGAGGGGCCGTAGCGCTCAGAGAACTAGTGTCGGCCTCATAGTGCAACAGTGCACTCCTCTGTGTCTGGTCACAGGTGAGGCAGTGGCCAACCTGGGCAGGATCCTTGACTCTTAAGATTTCATCCATTCTCTTCTCCATTGTGTCAGAATGCTTGCATGCTACACTGAGGGTTACATTTTAATGAACAGAAGTTTAAAAACCCACGCCCATTCATTCAGGATGGCTCCTTGAGAAGGTGCAACCAAGGGTAAGTCACAGCACGTGGGCTTCCCTGTACAATGATCAGCCTCCCTGACACACAAATATTGGAACAAAACCAGGAGGTTAGAGGCAGTCTTTTCCTCTTGTTCCTCCTTCCCTCCCCACAAGCCTCCATTAAACCAGAGCTAGAACTCAGTGCAATGCAGCTATTCCAAAGGAAGTGGCCCTAGAATTACTCTCATGTTGTTTTCAGATTTTGGTTGGTCTTGGGTTTAGAGGTGATGGCCAGGGCTGTGTTCCTCAGCAGCATGGCCATAGTGGAGTTAAAGACTGAACGACTTCCATACCAACTGGCAAACAGCTACTTGCCTCCAATGCCCCTTTTCTGCCTTCATCTATGGCAAACGATGACAATACATAGTAAAAGGCTGATAGCAAGCATAGAGAAGCTTCCAGAGTATAGGTGCAGCAGCACTTAGCCCCTGGTGGTGTCTTGTACTTATCCAGTTGTCAAATATATTAAACTAGTGATCAGGTGCACGATTTCGTGCACATTGAAAGGAAATTAATTAGAAGGTAGCCAGCAGGGCAGGACCTGGGCGAGATGGGCCGGACACTCCCTGGAGCCAACCTCTCATGGTCCCTCCCCGGTGTCTTCAGAGTGAGCGGATCCCTCTGGCAGGTGGGGTCCCTAGGCCTGGCCAGTGGGGATCAGGCCAAAACCAGCTCTCTGACATCCCCCAAAGGGTCCCAGAGTGCGAGAGGGCACTCTGCAAAGTTGCTGTCCTATAGAGTATGGAACGCAAAAGCAAGTGTGCAGTAAACCAGATTCGGGCCCCGACAGTGCCCCAGCAACAACATAACCCACGGCCAAAGGTGGAATCGCGTGGCCCTGCGAGGAATTGGGCTTCCTCCTCTCTGGTTTTGGGGTGCGTCACCTGAGAACCGCTGCTGCCAAGTCACTGCAGCTTGGCAGCTACTGCGTTGAGCATCTGCCCCCTGGTGGTCAGGGTGCATCATAGCAACCGGTCGGATGGTCGGATACTTAGCATATTATTAGCCTTTTATATATATAGATAATACCCTTGGCTAAGATGAATACCAAAGGTTTGTTTGAAGGGTGAAAAAGATACAAAAGGGTGAAACCCAGTCAAGTGGAAATGGGATGATAAAATTTGAATGAGAATTACAGCTTTCCCATCTCAAGTATATTTTTAGCATGAAGTAAGGGTCTGTCCCTGACTCCCTAAACAATTCTTCCTCAAATCATTATGGAATACAGAGAACATCTCTCCAGGGAACTCGGCCCAGGGAACCTTCTCCTATTTGCTCTGGTTAGGAATGACTGCTCCATTAATGGTTTCCAGTAGAGATTCACTACCTGCACTTCAAATGCTCTGTCTGGTCTGAATCCAAAACCAACCAAAATCTGAAAACAACCATGAGAGTAATTCTAGAGTCACTTCCTTTGGAATAGCTGCATTATACTGAGTTCTAGCTCTGATTTAATGGGGGGCTTTGGGGAAGAGAAAGAAGAAAAAGAGAAAAGATTGCTTTTAACCTCCTGTTTATGTTTGGATGTTTGTGTGTTTGTTCTGTCTTTCTGTACAGATTCCAGCATGTGCTTCTGAAGTCCCAAACAAATCTCTGACCCGGCTGCTGTGAATGAAGCTTCACTCCCACAGTATTATGAAAGCAAACACAAGCCCAGGGTCAAGTGCTCCTTTTGTTCCAGAAGTTCTTTCCCACGAGTTCAATCCTGCCATTAGCATTGATTTCCACGGCTTTAATCTGGGACCTCCTATCCCAGCTTGTTAAAGAACCGCTCAACTATGACTTCCTTACAATCTTGGGGAGGGGAGGAGAGGAGGGGTGAAAAAAGAAAGGTGGAAAGGGGTGGGGAAAATGAAGTCACCTACTTACCTTTACCCCCTGTTGCCTGAAGCATCTTCAAATGATCCACTGTCATTTGTAATATTTCAGCTTTTTCTAATTTTGCAGAGCCCTGCATAAACAAGTAATAAAGTCTTATAAGTTCTATGGAAACAAATTTGGGACATTTTATACTGGATTTTCAATTTTCCTTCTCACTAGAAAATTCTAAGTTTAATTTTTTTCACAGAAAAATCTGAATTCCTTCCAAACTTTAAATCCAAACTCTAATTACTATGTCACACCTAATGACAGATAGTTGCTATGTCACACTTAATGACAGATATTTCAACTTTTAAAGGTCAAAAAGTATAATAAATATTTTTGTCATAAGAATAGCTATACTCCCCAATATTACTCCACCAAAATTACAATTGTGAAAATCTCAAACTTTGCAACCAATCAGTACCTTGGTTAATAGTATATTTAATTGCATTATCTAATTGTATAGAACATCCAATAGTCCTATATAATGCTCAAATCTAGATCAGTTGAATACAACTCTGGAGGATAAGGAAACAGAATCTCAAATTATTGTTGAACCCTGACTTGGTGACTTTGATCGAATAATTAGTTGGTCTTGGTATTTTTTCATCATATCAAACATTATTGGTATTAAAGACATATGGTAGAATAATTTGCAATTTTTAACTCTCTGAAAGTGCCTGCCACATTTTAGAAGATTTAGTTTCCAAATATTTAACATTCTCGGTTATAAAATGGACATATCTCTTTTAATGCTTTTCCAACATTTTCAAATAAAATGTTTTGACTTTCCAGCTAGAAAAATAAAATAAAAATAAAAATTTTTACTAAGTCTTTAATTCATACTAGACCTCGGGTAAGCAGAACCAAAAATAAAAAAGGGAAGACTTTTAATATGTTTTCCAATAATTACCAGCAGGTGTCACTGTAAATTTCAAGATCATAAATAAGAAAGCATAATTTACTACTTATCTAGTAAGCATCAGCAACATGTAAGGATATTTAAACCCTTTAAAATAGTTCTTAATAAAACTGTCTTTGAAATGTATTTTTATGTCCCCACTTTTTAAAATAAGGCAACTTCTGGAAACCAATTGAAAAAAGTGCCGCCTCAAACTGTCTCAGAGTGCTGTGGGTAGCTTCTAATTTCCTGGAGGAGCTAAATAATTAAACCAATATGTTTTTTTCAGAAAAGGAAATAGAAGTTTATTTCAGGTTCCTATGCGTTACTTGTTTCGTGAAAATTATCAGCTCAATGCCAGTTATTTAAACTGCTTAACTAAATACCCTTCTAATCATATTGTGACAGGGCCAACTCACTAAGGGTTGGTAGCCAAGCTCTGCAAATGGGAAAGTCTGTGTTTATGGTAACTAGCTGCCAAACAACTGAGGTTTGCTTTTAAGATTTGTTTTAAATTGACATTTAAGAAAAGAAAGAAAGAAAAAGAACAACAACAACAAAAACCACACCAAACTGATTTTTCCTCATAACTAGGTATTTCAGTACTCAAAGTAAAAATATCACTAAATAATGATATCTTCAGTTTCAGCCTACTGCTACTAATCCAAACTACTGTTTCCACATCACATTTACCTAATCAAAGGCAGTTTCAGCGTATAGAATGGGTGCCTGTGTTTCTCTTAAACATATGTAATCAATAGCATATTACATCTTGTACTTCTGTCAGTGCTCAGTTTTTCCATGAAGATGTACAGTAGTTTCAGTGAACGTGACTAATAACAAAATTGTAGTTTCTGGATAATTTCTGAGGGCTTTGTAATGTTAGTTTGGTTCATGAAATAAACAACAAAATGAAATAAACAAACAATTGCTGTCTTATATTCTATTTGAATTAAATTGAAAGTATTTTCAACAAGGTTATGATGCCACATTCTTTGAAAGATGCTGTTAGAAATCTATGCCATTAGCCATGGTGGCAAGAGGAAAAACTTTTCTAAAACGACAAAGAAATATTTACATATTTGGCTTCCTACTCTATTAAGTGTGAAAAAAATCTTTTTTTTTTTTTTGTAAAGGAATATGTGAATTCTAAAAAGGGCATATGGCTAGTTTGATTTTTACCAAACTTCCAAAAAGATGCTCCAAATCGAGCATTATTCTGTTAACCCAGGGATTAAAAATGAAACCATGTGGGTTGGTAAATAAATTGTATTTGTATAAGTTATTTAGAAAATAAAGCTGGAGATGTTACTTTCTGGGCTTTGGTAATGTTTAAAATAAAAAGCTTATTTTTCTTAAACTGTTTGAAACAAAAATGAAATTTCACAATGATATCCTTCTTCTTTTTTTTTTTAAAGAATACCACATACATCTTGGTTTTAAAACCACCACTGGTCTTCATAAGAAAGAACAGAGAAAGCATGAACACTGTTACCCTGAAGGGGAAAATAAGCCCAAGAATGGAAATGTTTTTCAACTTCACGATGGATTATGTTTTTAATAGTTTTGCCACAACAAAGCATTTTATTGAAATCACTGCTCTGTGCCAGATCAGGGCACATACACCATTATTTTAAAAAGCTTTAACAGGCTTTCCCAGATGAGAGAATCAGATTTTTTGAGCTTTTTGGTTGGGGTGGTCAGGGGTGAGGATAGCTTACTTGTTTTTCAAAAGCAGTTGGCACCAGTCGCCTCAACTCGGATAAACTGTTATTTATCCGATCTCGACGCCTTTTCTCTATTATCTATCCCAAAGAAAGCAAAACAAAAGTTTATGAATACACAAATGATAAAATTACTCAGGATGAAAAAAACAACAACTGCTACACATTAGGCTGCATAACATGAAATAAAAAGAAAAAAAAAATCACATACCCCTCTCCTTTTCTTTCTTGCCATAATCTGAGATGTTGTTGTTGGAGAATTCGATCTAATCACAGAGCTAGAACTTTGCCTATGAAATAGGAAGAGTATGTCAGGTGCTTCATTAACATAACAATAGTTTCTTCTGAGTACTTGATGCCACCCATTAAACATTGAGGGTGATTTCGAAGTTGAGGTCTGTGTTAGTTTATTCTTAATTCTTGCTTTACTCTTAACATACTTTGCCTCCAGCCTATATCTCTTTTCAGGTAGGAATGAATGGTGGCTTAAAAAAAGAAAAGTTTTAATGAGTAATTTAGATGCCAAATCCATTGGCAAAAACATCCCTAAACTTTTATGAAGTCTCCAGTAAAATAATTATGGGGCAGTCAGGGTGAGAAATTAGATATTAGTACTTCCTAGTGCCACTCATAAATTTTTCTTAAAAGTCAACTAGTCTCTAGTAGCATCCTCCTCCTCTTTCCGTTCAAACATACTGAACAAAGCAAAGCTGTTTTAAAATAAAGGCCATGTTTAGCACCATTACCAAACAGATATACAATCATCACATGTCACACGGTTGTCTCTAGATGCAATCTTTAAAATAAACACGTTATCTTACTATTTCAATTACTCATATCTCACAACGGGAAAAAAATGACAAATTTAATGTTTTGAATCCGAATCTTCCAAAAGAATGCTCCAAAGTAAAAATGCCACTGATAAGAAAATTAAAATCAGATCAGCTACCAGGTAAGGGTTTTACTTTGAAAATGAAACCTCTAGGCTAGGAGCTGCACCTCATCTTGAGTTTCCTAATGAAAAGATTATTTTATACTGAGAGTTCAATCAAATCATTATTTTGCCACTTAGAATATTTGCCATCCTTTCTAGTTTGTATCTGTTACTCTTCATAATTCATGGATTCTGTAATTCTTTATGTTCTCAGATTTTCCAGGGTTCCTGTTATTTGTTCTTCCATTTTAGAAATGTTGCACAGATCAGGTTGTTAGTACTTCATCTCCTCACTTCTGGATCTTATTTCTGAATTAACTGTCTTCCTCATTCCCACCCATTCTCATTTGGTTTCGCCTTTTACAGGACATCTTCTGTTTTTCTGTTCTTATTTTTTAAGATGACCGGCACTTTAATAATTGGAAGATACTTTGTAAACAATGTTTCATGTAAATGTCTTTGCTCTTGCTGATATGAGGCTTTGGTTTTTATGTATTAGAAGAACAGCATTGAAAGAAAGAAAGAAAGAAAAAACAGCATTGAAAGTTTTCCAAAAGGTAGGAAGAATTTTGCTCTTTGAGTGACAGTTGCAGATAAATAATTAAGGTGCTTCTGGGGATGCCAATTAGAAGCAATTATCATTTGACCCGCCCGGCACTAAAATGCCTCGGTAATCTCCCCCTGCCACGGGGAAGTGGAGGTCTGGCTTCTGTGATCGCGACCCCGATCTTTCCCAGACTTAAGAGCCGGCAGTCAAAGCAATAACGCCCGAAACGATCCTTACATCTGTCACTCACTCTGCTGTCAGCCAAGACACACATGGTCGACCCGGAGCGCGCACCCTGCTTAGCGGGGACACTGCACGTCGCTTCAATTTCTCCATAAAGCAACTTAGCTTTTTAGTCTCTTTTAAAAACACCAATTTTTCCTTGCCCTTGGCCCATTTCGGCAGCTTCAGTGGCGGGGGCGTCGCCCGTCGCCCGTCGCCGGGACCTGGCTGTCGGCCGGCCGGGTGCAGACAGCCGGGCAACAATCCCGGCCAACTGCCGCACTTTCAGGCGCTGCACCCCCAGAGTGAAAACCCACCTCCCTCGCCCCACTCCACGCACGTTCCCGAGCGCCCACCACTCAACGCTTCTCCAGCAAAACTTCCCCCTCTTCGTGAGGACGCCGCGGAAAGGAGCCTGGAGATGCCCACGGAGCCGTCCCACACAAAGCTCCCCGACGCCTCGGGCTCCGAGCGCGCGCTCACCCCGAGTAATTGTTCTCGCTTCCCACGTCGATGGTTTCATCCAGGTCGCTCTCCGAGGTCGTCTCCTCGCAGGGGCGCTTCATCGCGGCGAAAAGGGCGCGGGGCGCAGCCCGGCCGGAGACACGGAT